CATGGATTGCTAAGTGCTGTCATGGATTGCTAAGTGCTATTATGGATTGCTAAGTGCTGTCATGGATTGCTAAGTGCTATCGTGGGTTGCTAAGTGCTGTCGTGGATTCCTAAGTGCTGCCATGGGTTGCTAAGTGCTGCCGTGGGTTGCTAAGTGCTGTCATGGATTGCTAAGTGCTGTCATGGATTGCTAAGTGCTGTTATGGATTGCTAAGTGTTATCGTGGATTGCTAAGCGTTGTCATGGGTTGCTAAGTGCTGCCATGGGTTGCTAAGTGTTATCATGGGTTACTAAGTGTTATCATGAGTTGCTAAGTGTTGTCACAGATTGCTAGGTATTGTCATAGATTGGATTCTGGAACAATGAGAAAAAGGACATTAATGGAAAAACTGGTGAAATCCAGATAAAATCTATAGTTCTGACAAATCTACCAGGGTTATATAAGATAGCAACCCCAGGGAGAGCTAGGTGAAGTATCATTGTAACTTTTCTGTAAATCTAAAATTATTCCAAAATTAAAAGTTTATTAAGATACAATAATGGAAGAAATCACAGAAGAAATTTGTTAGATGATTTGAAATTTAAGTCATGTAAAACAAATTATATTAATAAAGGCAGTAACACCAAAACAAATTGTAATAGGTGGTAAACGAAGGTTGATACTCTTAATGCTTTTACAATTTGGCAAAAGCAACGCCTCGTTGGAAAGGAGTCATTGGTCACAATTTACAGAGAAACACAGTGATCAATAAATAGGAAAACCCGTTCAGTCTCACCAGTAATTGAGGACATTTTTACTCATTGCTCGTGCAAAGATGGAAAAATGATAGTATTCAACTGTGAAAGGGGGAGTGGAAGAAATATAGGCTGGTCCCGCCCTGTGGAAAGAAGTTTCCCAGATGGGTGTTGGGTTTAGAACATGCATATCGTGTTTGCTTATCACCTGACACAGGACTTTTTCCCAAGGACATAATCAGAAATGTCTCAAATTTCCTATAGGATTATTTCTCACAGGGACGTTGATAATGAAAAACTCAAAACCTGAATATATAATAGTGAGAAAACGACCGCAAGAGTTGTGACCTACCTATGGAATTGAATGTTGTAGATTTATTAAGAATCATAATATAATTAACTAAAACAACAAAAGCAGGATGCAGTTTTGTGTGTCCACTGATCCCAGACTTTGCATGATGTGGACAAATGTATCTCTTCTTGGCAAAGAAATGTACAGTCATGTAAAAAGTAGTTATCTTGGGGCAGTGAGAAAGAATGATTTTGTTTTCTTTAAAGTTATTTTCGTTTTTAAAATTGTCTATAGTATTACTTTTATAATTGGGAGAAAAGTCACAAACCTTTTGTTTAGTTGGTGGGTTTCATTGATCCACCATGCTGATTTCATTAAGAAAATGTTAGTTGCATTCAGTTCCATGTAAAGCAGTTTTTCCTCTCCCCCCCACCCAGGAAGCTCCTCAGGGTGCTCCCCCTGCCCGGCGAGGACTGGGGGGCCTTGGTTGGGGAGTGGTGCTGCCACCCCGACCCCTTTGCTAATAAGCCACTGCAGCCATGCGAGCACGACTGTTTCATTGGAGACTCTTTCTTCTTGGTGAATTTAAGAACCAATTTGTGGCATCCAGGACCTGAAGTATCCCCAGCAAAGAAGTGCCATCGTCCTTCTGAGAACCACTTTAAACTGGTAAAATATTATTTCAAAATAAATGCTAATCTAGAGTCTGATCTGCATACTGGGTTCTTCAGCCTTCTCTTCATTCAGATTTGTTCCATGGCCTGTTCAAAAGGCCCAGATCTGTTCTTCTTAGCTGCCTTTGTTCTCCAGCTCTGCCCTGCCCATCCAGGAAGAACGGAGGGCCTTCAACTATCACAGCCACAGGGCGCTGGGGAGGTTGGAGAGGACTGCTGTAGCCCAGCCTGCAGTGCCGCCATTTTGCGACCAATGGCCCTGTTTGCTTATTTTTAGGACAGTATTTCTTAATCCAGGTGCATTTTATTTTAAATTGCCTGATTTAAATTGAAAAGTATTCTCTTGCTCCAGGACATCTATTCCATAATTAGACCCCTCGGAATTTGGCTGTTTCAGCCGTAGTCTAGGCTTCTGCCCAGGTCAGAAACGTAGATGCACCAAGGAACACTAAGCAGCAGAGACCCCAGGACTGGAGGTAGGGCCGTGGTGTGGCTGCTCTGGGGGAGGCATTTCCCCCACTGAAGGAACAAGTGCTTTCCTTTATTTTAAAAGAAAACCCCTGGCATGGCGGCCCTGTGAGAGGTCATTCCCGGATAGCCGGTCAATACAGGTGTGGTTTGAAAAACTTGAAGACATTGCCAGAGAATCATTCCAACGTCTGATTGTTGTTAGGAACAGAAACATTTAAACAGAAACATTTAAACATTTTAAATTCCATTTAGAACTCGTTTACTTTTTTTAATGACTGAGCTACTGCAGGAAATAAGCAGCAGTTTGGTGGCTCGTAGGTTGTAAGTCAGTTTATAGAACTATTTTGAGAGAGATTAAGAAAGTTCATCAAATATTAAATCTTAGTTATCAGTTAAAATTATTTGATGCCTTATCTCTCACTATAAATAGAAATCCCTTAAAGTGTGGTTCACTTTAATGAAACACAGTAAGTTAGCATTCTCTATTTTTAAAAGGTAAGTGATAAGTGACCATAAATTAATAATTATATTTAATATGATTTTATTGCATTTGTATTCTAACCTAAGTTTATATACTAATACTTTTTATTTTGTTTTATGATTGAGCTATGCATTTTATATACTTGGAGGGCATAAGCAGACAAAGAGTGGAGAAAGATTAAGTGAGAGAAGCTGCATTTCCTCTGTAGATAAACTGCAGTCTGTGCTGAATTAGTCCCACATTTACATCTTTATTAGTTATGCTGTGCATTCACAAGAATTTCTCTTCATTGTAAACAAACAATTAGGCATTAAAGAAAGTCCCATCATCTTTAGACATGGAAACTTCTAGTATTAAGGAGACTATGGAAACGATGTAGAATCAGGACAAGCTGCTGTTGACAAGATTGTTCCCAAGTTAGCCCAGGTGGAAGTTTTGCTTTAATTGCATCCTGTGGCAGTTGAAAGAGTGTGCCTGGACTAAAATAGTAACGTGAACCTGGAGGGTCTGCTTAGACAGTGCTCTCGAGGCTCCTGTGGGACCAGGGCTGCGCTGTGCTATTGAAAACCTGTGCCTCATGTATCACCCAGCCCAGCCGTCCAGCAGGGATTTGAAATGTCACATGTTGACAAAGCACCCTAATGGTATCTCTTGGGAAACATTTTTTTGGTAAGACAATATCAAGGGTCTTTAGAAATTGAAACAGCACAAGAGAAAATAAGAGTGAGGACAGAGACTGCCCCACCTCTCTGAGCAGCACTGCGTCTCTCAAGTGTACGGACTTAATTAGTCCCCGGCAGCGTCTGTCTCCGAGGTTTGCTCTTTTGAGCTTTTACCCTGTTCGGCTGGTTCATGTACAGCTGACTTTATTATTTCCTTGAAGCACAGGTGAAGACAAATGCATTGCAAACCAGAAATTCTGTTTCAACAAAATTAATGTGTTGTAATAGTTCAATTAAAAAGGTCTACTTTTTAAGATTATACAAATAAACATAAAGCCTGGCAGTGTTTCTCCTCTTGGGTATCCTTTTGGAGTTCACAGCCCCTTATTTGAGGCTGTGTCTGCATGGTAGTGTGTACTTATTATTTTCAAAACCTATCTGCTGAAGTTTTCCCGATTCTTTCCCTATTTTTGGTGGCTACCCACATAATAAAAACTTTGTGTCTTATATAAAGGTGGCACATCATCCTTTTGTGTGATTCCTGGTATTAGTCAAGACTCAGAAAAGTATAGCCACACTGAATATTCTATTTTTTTAAAGAACAAACAAAATTGAACTTGGATTATATTACTTTGGGCAAGTAGGGATAACAACCTTTTTTGCTTTCTTGGAATAATTGGTAATAATGTATTGATTTTAGTGATTTGTTCTGTTAAATTGCTAGGTGTGTCTCTTTTGTGTCTTAGAAATATGTGTTGTTCCACTTTGTACATACTCCCCAGTGTGAGAAGAACAGCGTCGTGAGCCTCCCTGGGCCTTATCTTCATTTTCAAGTGGGCTTCATCTTTTTTTTTTTCCAAAATGCTGTAAAGCAAATCTCAGTCAACA